TTTATAATTTTTTTTTTTGCTTCAATTGTCACGCATTTTTTTCATAAAAATCTACATATCTACATATTATAAGGGAGCCAACCCCAAAAGCACATTTTATTTCCTGTTTGCCTTTTGGAAATTGATGTTTTGTTACAAGTCCAAGCAACATGGCAGGTCAGGCAGAAATCGAAACGGAAATTAAAAAGTTCCCGGTCCCTTTGGAGCCCCGAAAAAACCCCTAAGCCCACTGTCATATAGACATGTCATTCCCCTGGGTAATGATATATTTTTATAATTTTTTATATATTCAATGACCTGTTTGGCGGCGGCGCTAAAGCATTCAACAATTTGCGGCTGGCATTATCATTAATGCATAATCTGGTGTATGCGAATATGTTAAACTGCATTAACTGGGGATTGTTTGTGTAATGCGATGAAAGTGTTGCATAATAAACGAGCAAACAGCTCCATAATCGAAGGGGGGCGATGACACACACTCCGCCGGGGCTGTTGACGAGGTTATTAAACATATTTTGAGGCAGCGCAAATGTAATTAATTTTAAACATTTATCTCGCCTGGATACTGAATAATTGATCCGGTTTAGACATTTTACTTGAATGCGGCAAATGAATCCTGCTGGGCAGCTGAATTTTGCATTTTAGTTTAGGTTTTCCATTTTAGTTAGCCGCAATTAGCAGCTGACCGACCATTCATCCGCATCCCTCCACTCTATTTTAATTAAACAGTTCGCCTCGTTTTGAGCGCACTCAAAGAAAAACCAATAATTTGTCTTGCCCATATTTCAATGGTCAACTCGGCCGCTGCCTCTCGTCCTCCTCCCTGACACCGAAACCAATCGCTCCTCTTAGCCATTGAAATTAAATTGGCAACGCAATGCCCTGGCCACCGCCACGTAGCCGGTTCCGGCTCAGATCCCGCCACGGCACTCCGGCACTCTGGTCCTCCGGCTCTCGAAACGACGTTAACATTACCAATGCAAATGCATTTGGAGCTCCTGAGTGGATCCGGGGTCGCTTTTAATTGCTGCCTGGAAGCAGGCCCAAGAGGTGGCAGCGGGACGGCTTGGCGGGGGCAACGGGTAACCATTTTATTTTAATTTAAAAATAAAATTTTCGCACATTACTCAAAAGCGGCAGTTTCTTGGCAGCCCAGTTCAGTTCAGCCACCAGACCATTGATGTGTGCCAGGATTGCGAGCCTGGCCAAAGGATGCCCCTAGCAGGCAAAGAAAGCAAACAAATTGAGATGGTAAAGATTCCAAAAAGTTTATTGAAATCTTCTTTTTATCTTTTATTTCTACCGTGATAACCCTGACTTAAAAAAGGATACTTGTTTGCTTTTAAATAATTTATAATTTTACCCCTTGCAGCTTTGCTTATTGGCCAATCTGTACATATTTTCTGTATATATTTTCTATATTATCCTTAAAATATTCCTTATTATTTCCAGTGCATAACCCTTCCTCGCACCGCTTCCATCGCCCGCCTCAATGATGCCTCAATGAATTTCAATAAAACGCAAGTGAAGGCAGCGGTCTGTCTGAACATCCTTTGACCCCTTTCGCCCCTCTTAAATTATACAAGGCTGTGGTCCTGTTTGGGTCCTGCCCTGCAGTTATAATTAAAATAAAACCTCGTGAGCGACTGCCAGATGTTTGTACTGCACAAGAGCAATCGCATTTCAACGCGCAATGAAGAAAAACGAATTCGAATTACAAATAATAATAATATCGACGCATTTTCGCGAAAGTATCGTATGTCGAAAAATCCAATTTTACAGGAGAAGCTTTTTTGTGCTTTAATCTCTTAGGAAGCACTATAGAAAAGACAAAATTGAAACTTAATTTTTATCGGAACTATAGGGTTTTCAGTTATAATATTTCACAGGGTAGTGAGACATTAGGTGCCTAACAATTGTGCATTAAAATCTCAATTTCGAAAAAAAGCGACATACGATACTTTCGCAAAAATGCGTCGATATTTTGCCTACCGACTGGCAGTTACCTGGTCAACTGAATGGTATCGCGGGGCTCTGGCCAAGCAGATAAATGGTCGAGTATACCCGAAGTGAAAGTGTTTATCTGCTGCGTTGATGATATTGTTGTGGTGATTAAAATACATGCGGGGGGAAATGCCTGAAGCTCACAGAAAGGCGCTGAAAAGCAAGCTACACTTTGGCCCTTGCCTCTGCGGTTTGGCATGCATGCCGGGGAATTCAAATTGGACTCTCGTCATTGCTATATAAATATATTAAGTTTTCAGATTTTTCATCTCTAGAGGAATTTTACTTGCTCTGGTAAAATACTACTGAATATTTACAAAGTTAAGAACAAGCATTACGGCAAATATAAGTCCAGGATCATGGATTATTCACTTTAATAATTTACTCTCCTACTTGACTTTCTTCTATATTTATTTATTGAGCATGCAATCTTTTTCTAAAAGTTTGCTTATTATATTTTTTAATTTTTTTTTTTTTGTTATTTAAGCATGCACTTCATTTTCCTAAAACATAACTTCTATAAACAAATGTGTAAAGTTACTTGGCAAACCCATTTTCCTTTATTAACAAAGCTTGAACTATGAATATTTCCCAAATTGCTCATCTCTCATTAGTTTGCCCTTATGATTTTAGCATAATTTTCCGGGAAAACTGTGTACCTCGAAGTGTTCGCCATGCCCCCAAGGTGTCATTCATTGAGTGGAAAGCTGTTATTACTACAACAACTCCGGAATGGCCGAAGGGAGAGACACCTACGCTGCAGCCCGTTTTCCTCTAGAAGCTTTTCCCATAATGCTCAACATTTTTCGGGGTTTCCCCTTTGTGTGTATGTGTGTACTGTTGTTTAACACTTCCGGCTGATGTTGCTGTAGTTGTAGCTCAACGAGAGAGCTCGATGGCGCTGTAAAATGTAATCATTGTGGCGTGTAATTAGTTTTTGTGTGTACCATATACATATATATAAGTGCATTCTCCAGTGTATGTGCTCTCTGTGTGTGTGTCTGCGTGTATAAATAAAATTTATTATTGCATTAACGTATAGTACAGGACATACACACACACATACAGATGCACTATGCAAATGTAAGCGCATTTGGTCAAGTGTGAGTGCCGCTTTGCAGGCGGGGAGTATACCTTTAATTGGCTATTGGGCGGTGAGCGAGGGTGGCTTAAAGGGTTGTCCTTGTTTCCCTTTAAATTAAATGGGAAATTTTTAAGAGCAAAATGATGAAATTGTAGATTATTTCATGATTGATTGAGATTCACAAGGTTAAGGGGGATTTGTAATAGAATTTATTTATATTTTAGTTAAAGTTACATTTTACTTTTTATACCCTTGCAGGGTATTATAATTTCAGTCAGAAGTTTGCAACGCAGTGTATTCTTGATCAGCATCAACAGGGGAATCTTTCTAGATATGTCAGGAAGAAATCGATTTTTTGGCCATTTTTGCAAAATTTTATAAGGGGTTACATCATTAAAATTTTTGATTTTGATAAAAAATTGAATTTTCCAAGTTTTTAAATGAAGTATGCAGATTTATTAACTGTAGAAAATCTTGTACAGAACAGTTTTCGAATTTAAAATTAATGCTCTTTTGGCCGAGTTATGATATTTTTAATTTAAAAAAAATCAAGAAGTTTTTTAATATAAAAAATCCGATTTTATAATACAAAATAATATTTTTCTAAGTCAAGGAATCATTTCTGACCCCATAACCCATATATATTCTTGATCAGCATCAACAGGGGAATCTTTCTAGATATGTCAGGAAGAAATCGATTTTTTGGCCATTTTTGCGAAATTTCATAAGGGGTTACATCATTAAAATTAGCAAAAGTGGCCAAAAATTTTGATTTCTTAAAATTTTAAATTTGGTATGCAATTTTTTTAGGCTTATAAAAACTAACACAAAACCGCTTTCCGAATCGAAATTAATGCATTTTTGGCTTAGTTATGATATATTTTAATTATTACCTGCAAGGGTATACAAACTTTGGCTGGCCAAAGTTAGCTTTCTTTCTTGGTAATATTATTTTTTCCTTACCAATTAATCTATTTTATTCAATATATTTCCGCTGATAAAACCTTAATTTAAATATTTTAAATATCTTCAACTCAAGTAGAAAAATGCATATTATTTGTATTAACAAATATTGATTTATGAAATAAAAATTAGCATATAAATAACGTACAAGATTAAATACACCTACTACTCCCCTCTCGCCACGAACTTTCCACACCTGGTTCTCCACACCTTGCCCAGCTCCTCATTAACTCCACCGACCGACCGACCTGACCACATGTCGTATTAGTAATAATAATTTACACATTAGTCTGCAGGACTCCTGCTGATCCTGTTTCTGTACTGCCGCTGCTGCTGTTGTTGTTGTTCTTGACCAATCAATAGTCAATTTCAGTGCGAGTTGTGCATGTGTCCGTGTGTTTTGATTGGCGGTTGTTTAGGCCACTAACCCTTTCCGTTCCCTTGGCCCTATATAGTTGCTGTAGGCCAATTGATTTGTTGGTCTCTTTGCTGTCGCCACTCGAAACCCCTTGGGAGCCGGAAATGCCACGCAATTTGTTTGTTCGCACTCAAGCCGCAAACATTGTGAAATTAACTTGTTAGCCACGCAGCAGTGAGGGCAAAAACGGAAGTGGTAGTGGCAGCAGGAGGGGCACTGGACGGCGGTCGTGGTTTGCCCTGGTAATTGACATTCGATTTGCATTGGGCGGACTTCAAATTGTGGTAATTGGTTTGTCCGGGCAAATCGGGGAGAGCTAGCAATAAATTCACCCACAAGTGACAGGCGCTGAAGGTAAATCAAACAATGACTATTGTTAAAGGACCGCAAAAAAGTATTAGTAATGTGGTTTAGGTGTTCAATACAGGTAAGTATATTTTATGATTAATTTAAACAAAACACAAAAAGATATAAATTAAAGCTAGTTCCTGGAATTTGATTTAAATTAATTATTATTTGAAAAGTCAAACATCTAGAAGGCCATGGTAATTCCTGTCTATGACCAATATTTCTCCTCACATTTTCCATTAGTCAATCATAGCAGAAACCTCTTCTAAATTTTCACAATAATTCCATAAATTTGTATAACATTTTTGAGTAGAAAACTTGTCTTTAGAAAATCAAAAATATGTCTCAAAGAAATATTGGTGAAACAGATTCACAACAAAGAATATATTTAGACGAAGAGGAGGTGAGATCCTACCACTCGGGAACAAGCTGCCCGGCCTCCAATGACTCCAATGAATCGGTTTGGTCAACCCAAGGCTGTATAATAGAAGTAAAGTCCTCCTCTACTCCAATGTGGGATGATAATACACCCACAGCATTAGTGCCTCCGCATCGCCGGAACAGTCAAATAAGACTTTTACTGCAAATGTGGGATATTGACGTTCAAGAATTGCGCGATGCGCTTGACGTGGAACAAGAAGTGCCGATATCGGCTGTAGTCATTGGTCGAGATCATCCTGCTTCTAGCCCGGCAGCCTTGGCCGGATATCGGTACCGAACCCTCTGATAGATAGCAAGCAAATTAAATTTTAGCAGCAACAAAATGTGGGTCTATACTCCATCGATGTGTCCTGCCTTTCGCATGCCAATTTCCGCAACGATTTTCCCTCTTTTTTTTCTTCAGCTCTCGTCATGGCGACGTTAAGTGGCATCTGCAGCTGCAGCAAATCCACACCCACCGGAGTCGTCCTCTGTGCCCTGCTCCTGTTGCTGTCCGCTTTCTGGTTGATGGCTTGCGTTTAAATTTGAAGTGCTGCTAAATCAAGCCCCATACAGTGGGAAAATTACGAAATTTTGAATAAAAACAATCTGTTGATTTTTAGTAAAATTAAAAAGGTTAGAAGGTAATGAATTGTGTTCTTGAATATCTGGAATATTGTATAATTAGAGGTCAAATATTCCATTAATTTAACTTAACTTCCTGATTTTTGTTTAACTTTTTCGCCAGTGTGCATAGTCAAACCTGCTCCTACTCTCCGCTTCTTTGGCTGCTCGACACTGGCAACGACTTCATTTGCAACATCAATCGCAACCTCATCAAGTTGTCTGCTGGCAGCCGCACTCATTACGGGTGATGGCTGCCGGAGCAGGGTGACTGCGCTTAATAAAGTGTTCGCCAGTCGGCTGAGTCAAATCTGGCCGGGATGCGGAAAGTAGTGGGTTTCATGATGGCCCCCAGGGCGGCTGTGTTTAATTAGCTTTAATGGCTTAATGCGGGCCATTGCTGTTTGGACCAGACCGGGGTCATAACGGCCAGAGGTGATTGCTGGTGACACAGCCGCATCCGTCCCTTTGCCAAGTTGTTTCCGATTTGCCACCTCGTCCCGGACTTCAGGCTCAAAGTGCCACCCAGAGAGTGCCACTCGAGTATTAATGGAGGCCAACCCGTGACATTTTAAAGCAATTTTCCTGCCAAACAAATTTCCGGTGAAGCGCACAAAAACTTCCATCCTGGCACCGACTATTTATTTGGCCCCAATTGCGAGCAGCTTTGCTCCGGCGGCGAACCATTCACACGTAGCACACAACTCCTTTTTCTCGTCCTGTTAAGAAACTTTGCCTCATAACTCTGCATTGAAGAAGATGCATATGCAACACGTCCGTGCCATTCCCAGCTGCAATGACTCAGGCACCAGGCAGCTACACCACCTGCTGTACTGGTATCTTGCAATCGGGGGCAGAGGGTGGGATATGTTTGCTCATACCCGGCTTAAGGTAGTCAAATGTTGGCCAGAACTTGACAGAATTCTACAGAGTGCCTGGAGTGGAGTTTTCCTATCGGATTAGCAAGCAACTGTGGCTAGATACCTGGGGTTTAAAAGAACAAAAAGGCTTTAAAACTGAGCATTTAATAATTATTTAAAAATCCCTATGACTAAATAAGTAAATTATATATTATGTTAAATTAAAATATAATTTTACTCATATTAAATTCTAGGGTATTCAGGTTGTTTAACCTTTAATCAGCTTCATTTATCCCAGTTCCCACTGATATATAGCTGAAAGTTGCAACTTTTTCTTAGCTGTTCGACTTTTGCAGCCAGCACGAAATGCTTTCGGGCATTTAAAGTGAACTACGGGCAAGTGAAGGATGAACTGGGACCGGGATAAGGATAAGGATGCGGATGTGGATGAGAAAAAAGGAGCGCCAAGTTAATTGAAAAGTATTGTTTGCTATTTCGTGCCATTCCGTTCTCGTCACACTGTTGACACTTCTCGAACAAAGTGAAGACACGGATGCCGGGCTGGGTAGTTCATTGTCAATTCATATTCCAAACACTTACCTCGCTCTCTGAAAAGTAAATCCTGCTGTAGCAGTTTTTCTTAGCACAACATTTAACTTCCAACCAGTAAAAGTAGTTAATTCTTTTGGAGACAGCTTTATAAAACTAGTATTTATTTGTTCACATCATGGCTTACGATAGCTTTGATTGAGTTACTGATTATTTGTGGAGCTGCTAAAAGCCCCTCACTAAAATATTATAAATTATTGCCCATTACTAAAGCATTCGGGTTTCAGCGGTATTAAAAAAAATATGTTAACCTAAGATAAAATAAGTCAAGCTTAATGATATGTGTCTGTGTGTTGTGTAAGTCAGTGAAGATGCGTCCTTTAGTTTGCTTTGCAAAATAAAATACATAATTAAGAATATGGAAAGCAATTAAAACTTTCGTACCTTACTTTACAACCTACTGGTAGTGATGATGATATACATACATATAATTTAATAAGTCCTGATTCTATCCTGTGTTTCCTATCTGGCTATCACGAACAACCTAATCTACAACTAATTAACAATACAGGGAAACTCGTTATTATTATTACACTATGACGAGAACACAGAATAAATAATCAAGATATTGCGTTGTGCGAAAAAACCACTGATAACTAGAACGCATGCAGGGGAGAGCGGTTGAATCGAGATTGGGTTCCTGGCTGAAATATTATACATTTAGCTCAAAACATCTATGAGTATTATTTGGGATTGTTTTCGGTTGCTGGGACCCGGGTTCTCAGCTGAGTATGACGGAGTGCGGCTTCGCCTTGCCATTCTTGCTGATCTGTGCAGTGCGACCTGAGGAAAATATATAAAATATTAATATAAATTCCAAAAATTACAGCGAAGGATGTATTTATACGCACTTTCGCTCTCTGTTATGGTGGCCACCCCCATTAGCTCTAGGTTACGTAAGAGGGCGCCCAGATTAGAGCGGTCGTCGAGGTATTTGCTCTCCAAGCGTACAACGCCCAGCTTTTTGGACTTGGTCTGCGTATGCCAAACCAGAACCTCTGTGCAATTATTGCCCCGCGGCTCGATTTCATCCATACGCACGTTGATGCTCCGCAGAAAGAGATCCTCCTCATAGCCGGGCTTATACGGCATATTTACATTGGGGTACTGTGCCATGTACTCCAGGCTCACGGCAAAGCCGGCCATGTCCACAGGCCAGCGTCGACCCGCTACCCAAGAGTCTAGAAAGGCCACCACTTTGCCCTGGAAAATAATTAAATTATTTCATAGATGAGTTGGTGATTTTATATAAAAACAAGAAAGGAAGCTAACTTCGGCACGCCGAAGTTTGTATACCCTTGCAGATTGGTTTTCATATTTATATTATAAATTATAATGCCGAAAACAGACACTAAACGGAGTTTCATAACATTTTACCTATACTTAATATGTTTACAGTTTGACAGTTACAGTTATACATTCCCAGCTTTACATTTTCTCTACATCTACGGATCACTTATATGGCAGCTATATTATATAGTTCTCCGATTTTCATAATATTGTTACCAAAATTCTGAAATAATACTAAAAGCTCATGTCTCAAAGTAGATGAAAATACGTTGAAAAACAACGAAGTTATAATTTTTTCTATCACTTTCCCTATCGTTCCTATGGCAGCTATAAGATATAGTCGTCCGATTTTCATTAAATTTATACCAAAATTTTGAAATAATACCAGAAGCTCATGTCTCAAAGTAGATGAAAATACGTTGAAAAAGAACGAAGTTATAATTTTTTCTATTACCTTCCCTATCGTTCCTATGGCAGCTATAAGATATAGTGGTCCGATTTTCATAAAATTTTTACCAAAATTCAAAAGTAATATATAATGGCCATGTCTTAAAAATTGTGCAAAAATGTTAAAAAACATCCAAGTTATAATTTTTTTTCTAAAAATTTATCGAACATTTGTATGACAGCTATATGATATAGTCGTCCGATCCGGCCCGTTCCGACATATATAGCAGTGAGAGTATGTAGAAGACTATATGTAAAGTTTCATTCAGATAGCTTTAAAACTGAGGGACTAGTTTGCGTAGAAACGGACAGACGGACAGACGAACGGACAGACGGACAGACGGACGGACAGACGGACATGGCTAGATCGACTCGGCTGGTGATGCTGATCAATAATATATATACTTTATAGGGTCGGAAACGTCTCCTTCACTGCGTTGCAAACTTCTGACTGAAATTATAATACCCTGCAAGGGTATAAAAACTAAGACTCACCTTTCTAACTACTGGCCCGCTGATGGCATAGTCGGCAATCAGACCAACGGGAAACATGGATACCCTCTGAGTCTTCCTGATCTCCGAGAAGAGTCGCAGGTCATAGGTATTGTCGTCATCCCCAAAGTAAAGGACTCCATTGGTGAGGTTGTGCTGCCGCAGCCACCGCAAGGCTGCTCTTCTATTGGCCACGCCACGCGGTGCAGGGTCTGCAAACCGGAACTTGGCAGGCATGGGACTGACCATGTGGGTGAAGGGAATGCCTGTGGATAACAAATGTTCTTATTAACACAATCTTTTATAAAAGATATACGTTTTCATACCAAATCGATTAAGCAGCGTGTCTATGAAGTCGTTGCATTTCTGTTGATCATCGGCCACCAGCCAGTGCAGTCGTGGGACATGGAGCAGCGTGTGCGCCAGACGCGTCAGTTCCGGAATCTGTTCCCGCCGCGGGTACGTGGGGGTAACAAAGTATATCACCGGCAACTGTCCATACTCGGAATTGGGTTTGTCCTGCATAAACTGACGGCGATCCTCGTAGCTTTCGCTGCATATGTGCACGGTTTCGTTGAGTGGCCGGAAATTGTTTCTATCTGTGGGGAGGGGTGGAGAAAACGAGACTGATTAGCAGGGGTCACACAGGGGTTCAATTAAAATTCTCCATGATGCCATGATTTAATCAGAATTTACAATTACTACGAAAATTTGCTGATGCTCGTAGCTCAACTCATTGACCCCCAGTTTGAGAGGCTACAAACGTGCCATAGAGCCCAGATGAGTATCTGAAGCGATGACAAACAATCTGTGCGCGCTGCCTCTCCACATCTCGAGAGGTGCTAATCGGTGTCTCTTAGATACTTTGCGTACGAATGAATGATTTACTTAAGCCGAAGATAAAGTGCTCCGTCACTTCCCAAACAAACTTGGGAGGCTTTTAAGAAATCGGTTGTCTTATGCACACATTTCAGAGATCTGAAACAGATGATACAAGATACCGAGATATGCCAGCTAATTACCTAATGGGTTAATCCGTGTTGGGAATCTTACGCCTGCCATCAAAGCGTTAATGTGTTTTGATCGGCTGCGTGTGCCGATGCCATTAGAGCACCTGTCCATTAATCCGGAATGAAAAGCGTAACGCACGCGACTGGGGTAAGCATGGTAGAGGAGGAGGTACGATGGACGACCGTGCTCCGATGCAAATCGAAGATAACCCAAAACGGACAAATGGGTAGGACGAAAGTATCCCCCCAATATGTGTGATTAAATATTGACCGAGCAAATAGAAACCAAAATGCAATAAATGCGGACTCGATCAATCGAAATAAAAGAATATAGCGCTTGAGGGCTTTTCCGTATGACGAATAATTACGTATTCGTTACCCTCCCTCCCCCAATGAACATTAACAATCGGCATAGACACTGATAGTGGGGCTGTCCCATTGTACTGGCGGTGTATGTCTAGCGATGGAAGCACCACCACCACTACCATAAGCCCCACTTTGCCTAACGATAAACCACACACTTATCGACGGGGTGTGCGACAGCAATCTGGGCATAATCACACGCTCACGTACACGCCGGTTAATTATGACCCATATCTGGATGATGATGATGAGGAGGCGGCCAGTGCTCGCTTCCCGATTGCGGGCTATTGAGAATTCCCCGGGCACCTGATCTACGACCGTACGTTAGTCACAAATTGTTATTCGCTTTGCCCCTTATCGGCTTCATTCACCATTTTGGTTCATTGGTGCCGGGCCATCTATCAGAGCGATTGGGTAAAAGGGGGATTTCAGGAATTCAGGAATTTATTAAAATAAAATATTTATAATAAAAGCTTGAATAAATGATATTTTATTTGGGGCAGGGCTTATCTTTGTAAAGTTAGTTAAAGGAATTTATGATTAAACAAGAAAGGAAGCTAACTTCGGCACGCCGAAGTTTGTATACCCTTGCAGATTGGTTTCGATGTTTTTATTATAGATTTAAATGCTGAAAACAGAGTTTCATTACATTTTACCTATACTTATTATGTTTACAGTTTTACATTCACACCTTTACATTTTCCCTACATTTACCGATCGCTGCTATGGCAGCTATATGATATAGTTGTCCGATTTTCATGAAATTTATACCAAAATTCTAGAATAATAAAATAAGCTTATATCCCGGAGTAGATCAAAAAACGTTGAAAAACAACGGAGTTATAATTTCTTTTCTATTAATTTCCCGATTGTTCCTATGGCAGCTATATCATATAGTCGTCCGATTTTCATAAATTTTTTTACCAATATTCAGAAATAATATTAAATAGCAATATCTAAAAAATGGTGCAAAAATGTTGAAAAACAGCAAAGTTATAATTTTTTTTCTAAAAATTTATCGAACATTTGTATGGTAGCTATATGATATAGTCGTCCGATCCGGCCCGTTCCGACATATATAGCAGTGAGAGTATATAGAAGACTATATGTAAAGTTTCATTCAGATAGCTTCAAAACTGAGGGACTAGTTTGCGTAGAAACGGACAGACGGACAGACGGACATGGCTAGATCGACTCGGCTGTTGATGCTGATCAAGAATATATATACTTTATAGGGTCGGAAAGGTCTCCTTCACTGCGTTGCAAACTTCTGACTGAAATTATAATACCCTGCAAGGGTATAAAAACACCGAAATTAGATTTTTTCTTGCAGTTCCCCGATCGTTCCTATGGCAGCTATAAGATATAGTCGCCCGATTTTCATAAAATTAAATACGAATTTCTAAAATAATAAAAAATGGCTATATCTCCAAGAAGATAAAAATACGTTGAAAAACAACGAAGTTATAAATTTTTTTCTGTTAATTGCCCGATTGTTCCTATGGCAGCTATAAGATATAGTCGCCCGATTTTCATAAAATTAAATACGAAATTCTGAAATAATAAAAAATGGCTATATCTCAAAGAAGATAAAAATACGTTGAAAAACAACGAAGTTATAAATTTTTTTCTGTTAATTGCCCTATTGTTCCTATGGCAGCTATAAGATATAGTCGCCCGATTTTCATAAAATTAAATACGAAATTCTGAAATAATAAAAAATGGCTATATCTCAAAGAAGATAAAAATACGTTGAAAAAAAACGAAGTTATAATTTTTTTCTGTTAATTGCCTGATTGTTCCTATGGCAGCTATATGATATAGTCGTCCGATTTTCATAAAATTTATATAGAAATTCTGAAATAATATAAATTGGCCATATCTCAAAAATGGTGCAAAAATGTTAAAAAACAGCCAAGTTATAATATTTTTTCCAAAAATGTATCGAACATTTGTATGGCAGCTATATGATATAGTCGTCCGATCCGGCCCGTTCCGACATATATAGCAGTGAGAGTATATAGAAGACTATATGCAAAGTTTCATTCAGATAGCTTTAAAACTGAGGGACTAGTTTGCGTAGAAACGGACAGACGGACGGACAGACGGACAGACGGACAGACGGACGGACAGACGGACAGACGGACAGACGGACATGGCCAGATCGACTCAGCTGTTGATTCTGATCAAGAATATATATACTTTATAGGGTCGGAAAGGTCTCCTTCACTGCGTTGCAAACTTCTGACTGAAATTATAATACCCTGCAAGGGTATAAAAAAGTGTATACAAAGTAAATGTAAGGGAAGGTTAGATAAGGCCTATAAGTCAAGTCGTAATAACTCTTCAATTTTGTGATTCAATTAAAAGTGTACTAATGTTTCCGCTTATAATATATGAGCAGACATGTTCTCTTAAATTTAGAAAAAAAATAAATGATACACAGTTGGGCAAACGGAAACCTAAAACCTTCTGAAAATGTTCAAACCCAGAAGCTTTTTATGAGTAATACGATATTTTCTACTTGATAATGGAAATACTCTGTTTTTTAATTTTGCGAAATAAAATTCTTAGAATTTGTATAACTGATCTACTCCAATCTTTCTTCTTATCTCTAACAAAGAAGTCAGCGGCCTTCTTAGCCAGCAAATGTGTTTGAACTCTTATCGTAGTAGTCCCCAATTCCTTATGAATAACAATAAAGCTAAATTTTAAGCAGCGGAAACTCGATTGTATTCGTCATGTGTTGCAAATTCAGCAGAATTTGCGCTGGTTTTAAATGTCTTTTAAATAAAAAGTGGCGAGTGGCGTTGCAGCTAACAAGTTGTAAATATTTTCACTGGTTTTATATATCTTTTGAATGAAAGAAGGCAGGTGGCAGAGCAGTTAACAATTTGTAAATATTTGCACAGACAATTTGAGGGCAATTTGGTTTAACGGCTGCGTGTCCAAAGTGCATAGTCAAATGTGCAGGAGGCAGACCCACCGAATTCCATTAACAATACCTCAGGGGAGGCATCAGAGAGCGGGGCACGACGAGCACCCGACACGCGCACTTGAAATGATACTGAAATAGGCTCGAAACAGATGATGAGAGCGAGGAATAAAGGTGCTCGAGTGCTAGGCGAATTATAAATATATGCATACCCGGGTCTGTGAGGCAACAATGCCGAGTGCCAGACGTTGCTCGCACAGAAGATGTTGATAAGATTCTGGGCATGTGTAAATTATACCCTCAAAACGAGGGGCAATCTATGTTGCCGGAAAACTGCTAAAAGCCAATTAACGGTTTACTGAGAAATTCAAAATCTAGAGTCTAGACTTCAGAGATTCGTAACGAGTAGTGGTTGCAATTAGACAATTGGTGTCACTCAATTTTGCTTGAGGGAGGCGCTCTCCTTAGCTGCAACTTGAGATCGCATGACTGAAAAAAGCAAACAGAGTTGTTTTTGTTTTCCTAATCAACGCGAAAAGCAAGATAATCTCATTGAACTCATTTGCATTTGCTTTGAACTTGAACAGACAGCCAAGAGGATGATTGGCATTGAATTCGCAGCGTAAATTAATCGATATAAACACATTGTTCCCCTTTTGCAATCTAGCTTTTATACCCCGAGAAAGCAAATTGCGAATTTAGTTCATAAATAAGAAATAAAGGAGAGAAGGAAGTCGTCGATAAAAATACCCTATCGATGGTTGGAATAGTATTAATGGCTTGCAATTAGAGCAGTTACTTTAGTTCCCAAAATAATACAAAGATTGCATGATAAACCTAACTTAAATTAAATTATACCTCTGCTATCTGATGTGGTATACATTTAGTAGAAACAATTCCATTTTAAAATTCTACACAACTCTATTAATTTAATACAACTAATTAAATAGTGTATTCCCTTAACAGGGCTGTCCAGCCAAGTAAACTGGAAAATGTGACCTTGTCTCGGCTTTCGCTGATGGCTATAAAAAAAAATAAAACGACCGACTGACAAGCGGAGCTATGTAATTGCCATTGGGCAAGGGTGGGTGGTTCGACAGCGTGATGTACAGTGGCAGTACATCCAACTATATATCGTGTTTGGTGAAGACAAAAGTTACCAAATAGATCCAATTACGGTTAAATAATAAAAAAGCCAGCTGGCTAACCGGTGGCAGAAGTCGCAACGTCGAAAGCCGACGAGTTACATGCGCTAATTACCTACGTCAACTACTCATCGGTGATTCAGGTGAGGAGGTTCTGTCACGGTGACTTTAGGGAGCCTTGACAAAACCACTTAGGGGATATATAAACAGCTTATAAAAACCCATTAATGAGGCAATTCTGTTTTGTAATGGAAAATATACTTGGACACACTTTAGCAGAAAAAGGAAAATTAACTTTTTTGTATAGTTTAAGCAGTCTTATTACGACCTTTTGTTTATGGGAAATTTTAACAAGGTTTAGTTTAATTTTTATGGCCAAAAACAGAAGTCACAAGAGCACTACATGCACCATTTAATCACATCTCACATTTTGACAAACAGATAGAGTGTACTGATATGCCTTGCCTAAATGTAGAGTACCGAACTTTGATTGGCAGTGCGCCAACAGTGAAAGTGAAAGTGGTGGCACCACCACGGCGAACTCACTTTCGGCCAGCAGTGGTCGTGAGAATGCACTTAACTGCGCTTCCGCGACTGGGCGCAGCTGTTGGGTCAGTTGGAGGTGTAGAATCAGGGTGGAATCAACTACAGATGCTTGACTTACATATCTCTGGGAACCCTTTGCGTCTTATCTTGAATCTTGAAAGTCTTGTATCATTTAACTCATCGTAGGACAACTCCTTGTTTGAGGGAAACTCGGTATCTAAGGGCAACTCGTTCTCCGAGTTCAACATTTCATCTGAAGGCCACTCTTTCACTGAGGGAAACTTCTCCTCTGAGGACGACCCGTTTTCTGAGAACATCTTAAAGAGCATCTCGTTGTCAAAGGACAACTCGTCCTCCAAGGGTAACCCGCCGTCTGGATAAAACTCCACGCTTGAGGGCAACTTCTTCTCTGAGGGGAACTCAGCCGCGGCGGACCACGGTACCTCGAGGGGCGACTTCTCCTCCAAATGCCAGTTTTCTGTCGAACTGGGCCTCGTCATCAGCTTACCTAAGTCGTTGTGGGATCCCTCGTCATCCGAGTCATCGGAGCCACCGCCCAGTCCCAGGGCCAGGCGCGTGTCCACGCTGAGGGTGAGGTAGCAAAAGGCTATGAAGAACAGCACTCCGCCCACCAGGGGCAGCAGGCAGCGACGACGCCCCTTCCGGGCCATGACCGGTGTGGCCAAGGAGCAGGCTGTCGTAGTGGAGCCGCTGTGGTTGCGCAGGTGGTAGTGATGGTGCTGCTGCTGCTTCGGCCGCCGCTGCTCGATGTCCTCGTTATCCTCGTCGGAAGTCTGCGGCTCGAGTGCCTGGTAGTGGGCACTTGACATTATGCTGGGATGCGGCTGCGACTGCAGTTGTGGCTGCTTTCGTTGTTGTTACTGTCGTTGAGATTAGAACCTCGGGCATCAGCTGGGGTGGTGGATTCGGCGGTTAAGGTGGAATCCTGGCTGCTGCTGCTGCATCCCCCGGCGGCCATCGGTGTCGATCTGGGCTCAAGGCCAGCCTCCTGCCAGTCCTCCTGCTGCTATACTTGGCAAACAAACACGTTTCGCTTATTATACAATTTCTATAGTTGCTCCGACCCGAAATTATGCAAATTCCCTCGACATTTCTGCACTCGCCGTTCCCTGCCGCCGCTCTTGCTTGTTGCTATAAAAAAGCCACCCGAAAATGTCACAAACACAATCGCGAGTTCGGAATCGGAAGCACACAAAACACGCAAAGACGCCGCCTTCGAGCACTCACAGAAATCACAGCAAAATATTGCTTATTTCTGTCCGCCACCCCTCGCCCAGCGCCCACTTATTTTTTTTTTTATTGTTTTTGTTGTCGGTTCGAACGGGAGCTGTCTGTTGTTTTCTCGGCGAATTTCTCAGTATGACCGCGCCGCTCTCTTTGAATTTTTTGTACTAGCGCTTGCGGGTTGCTTTTATAGATTTTGTAAAAATTGCAGTGTGCCCGCCGGCCGTTGTTTTCGAAACCCGCAAACCGCAAAGTCTGGCATCTCTGGTTGCTCGAGACACCGGTGTTGCCAGGCTTAGCAGAAACGTATTCAAAAAACATTACGTGATAAAAAAACCGTTGCGTTGACGTAAGGAGAAAGTAGAAACTAACTTTATTACTAAAATATATAGAAAATAGTTAATAATTCTAGATTTTTATTTAAACAGAAGTTCCAGGTCAACGTAAAAATATTAGAATTTAAGGGCGAAAGTAACAAAAAACGACTTCATATAATGAACAGCTTATTAAACCAGTAATTAGACAAATTAAACAAAAATCTCTAGTCAGCGTATTTTTCATTTTTCCAAAGACTAGATTTTGACTCCAGAACTACCGTTTTTGGAGCACCCTCTCCATATACCTAATGAGTGTCAAACATGCTGCCGCCGTACCTTATCTAATCTAGTCCAGGTACCCGATTTTAATCGTTATTACTTAACCATAACGGGCTTTGTCTGGATGATTACTGATATTTGACTTGGCTTCCATATCGCTACTAAGTTAGCGCTTCCCTTATCCCAAGCCAACCCAAACCCCCTTAAAAATTGAAAGGCAGGCAGATCCATTACAAAACGGAGAACGTGTTACATTTATTTTAAGAGTTTACTCACGGACAATTGCGTTTGTTTAATTGGTTCCAATACAAAAATGAACAATCTTAGTTTGTTTTTCTCGTTTCTTTTGTTGATTAAGCAAGTATTACAATTAAAAGCCACTTAGTATCTCACTTTTTGCGCTGTTTCCAGCTGCTTCCGCCACCCTGCAAGCTGCACTGCAGCATCGCTTCGTGTGACGCCGAGTCAAGGAGCAGCGGGAGCGGTCTTTCTTTGTGAACCCTGCACTTATGGAATAATTAACTAAATGTTTATGAAGAAAACTCATAGGTGGATCAGTAGTGGGCTGTCCGACGACGTCTAGGCGCTTAGATATTGGCCTTGATGACATCCTCCACACGCGTGGCATTGGCGCCGGCAAACTCCTCAACCTTTAAGCCGTTCTTAATGAACACGAAGGTGGGCATGCTGGAGATGTTGTAATCCATGGCGATGTCTTCGCAGATATCCACATCGACCTGTTTGGAAAGAAAAGCTTGTTAATCTACATCTCGTTTCATAGACATTTAAGTTTGGAAACCCACCTTCAGGACGACGATGTTCTCGGCGTACTGCGTGGCAAGCTCGGCCAGCTTGGGCGAGATCATCTTGCAGGGTCCACACCAGGTGGCGAAGAAGTCCAGCACCACCAGCTTGCCGGCAGCCTTGGTCAGCTGAGCCTGAAGATCATCCTGCAAACCGAAAATGTAAATTGTTAACAAGATAATATCGATTTTTCCATTTCCCAATGACCCAAATTAGCTGTAATTTCCTCCCAAAAGGGGGCAAGTTTTATTAGGAATCGGGCGATTGGGGGTTATCAAACATTGATCCAACTGTGGATGAGGGGGAGACCCCATCATTATCGCTGTCAGGTGCGCGATAAGGCAGCCACAAAGTTGTCAGGCATCCTCCCCAAAAGTTGCCAAGTTGTAATCAGCCCCAGTAATCAACTATTGGGAGGGTTCAATATTTGTACGGGCCGTGTGTATTTGTATATTTCATTTCAATTTCAGTATTTGGCCTAGTGACCAGCCACAAATCAATATTTCAAGAGTTTCGAAAATTATATGTGTATGCCTAAGGGTGTGGTGTTGCTGGGGGCGATTCCTGGCCCCGCCTCGCTCATGTCACGTTTTCCCAATGACCTTTAATTAATTGCGGGCGATGGCAATCGCAGAACAGAAAGCAGCAAAGAAATGGCTCTAATGAAATTGTTGGCGTCTCCCCCGTGGAACGGGAGGGGGCAACCGACCGGTTTGTTGGAATTTGCATAAATAATTCACTTGCCAACTTAATATAGCTTATTGTTTCTTTCCAATTAAATTATTTTTGGTTGGCTTAGATCATTTCGCTTTCGGTGGAAAGATTTCAGACTTGGAATAATTAGGATTTCCTTATTCTGTTAGCTGATTCATGGTCCATTACCATTGATCAACGAAAGATGCTCATAGAGCATAATGGTTTGTTGTGACTCAAGGTAGGTATGTGACAAAGAATTTGCTGATTCCATGAATCACGGGATTACCTTAGAATAATTGTTTAACCCGAAGGCTATGACTTTACCTAATCAAAGTTTTGATGTGTTTTATTCATATATTTTCTGGAAATAATTTATTTATATACTGTTTGAACATTTTTTAAAGATAAGGTAATTTAATTATAAAAATTTAGTAATAGTTCCATTAAATTTATATTTATATAAATGACTCAAGTTTTTAGATTACACTCCAAGCAGGTTTTAACTTTAGACATTAATCAATATTCAAAAAAGCTGTCATTTTATGTACATAAATAAAGTATTCTTAAAATGTAAAAATACCTTGTGAAATGATTTATTGACTCATTTCTGAATAAATAACTAGACTTTGATTGGTTTGTCCCGATTGTTCTGGTAGTTTCAAGTGGTTTCTGATAAGCTGTCTCTTTTTATTTATTTATTTTTATGTGTGTTTTGCGGTATAAATTTAGATCACTAGAAGGGGCAATGTTTGGGAGCGTCGCCTATATGTATGTATATTTTGAAATTGAATTATAAGAAATGCTTTCCATAAGCATATTTACTCGCATTTGCCCTGACGTAATATTTGTATTTATGCGTCGGCCGACTGACCGAGCGTCCAACCGGTTTCGCCCCCTTGAAACTCTTTCTCCCGCCACCTCTGCCCCCTCCCTACTTCTCTGCTTATCTGGCCTCCCCTTTGAACCGCTGTTCGTGCAAAGCGCGCAACTTTGGAACGCCGAGCACACCCTGTGTTGTAGCAACTATTTCGTTCGTATTCCTAACCAACAAACCCAAGCTCCGACCACGACCGCGATAATGAATTGCTAACTCATGCCATATACTATATGTACAACCGTGTGTGTATAGATACTGCCTCCATATAGTATATCTTGCCTAGATTACTGAATGGAGCGATTTGAAAATTCGAAAATTCCGTTGGTCCATCCAAAATAGATGATTTCATGGCGCCGTTCGAACTCTTCTCTTCTCCGCTTTCTCCTTTCTCCTCCTACTCTCTCTCTTGTGTTCGCCTTTCTCGCGTGGGGGGATGATAGGGGAGCAAAAAGCGTGGAAATTGGAATGACAATTGCGATTCCAATGCCATATTTTGCGTGCCTCAGGCCGAAATCTTGATGGAAAACTAACTACCGGGGTTGCGGGGGTCACCGGGTTACCCAACTGCAGATGACGCGGCGGGGAAAAGCCCAGCGTGCACAGATCCGGTATCCGGCAGATGTGACTCACCTTGTCTTTCACCTGGTACACCATGTTGCTGTTGTAGTCTTGAAAGCGTTAGAAATGTATAAAAGTTACTTAATTAGCACTGGGCCAGCTCTTCACCGTTGGAATAATTTTTTATAATAAAGAACGTGCTTTGCGGGTAGCTTTTATAGATTTTTGTCGGGCAGTGATGTCATTTTATTCTGAGCAAAAGCTAAAAAAGCCCAATGAAAAAAGCTAAGAAAATAGCTGATTTTTAGAAAATTATTTTAAATTTTATTTAATTTTAAAAATATTAAAAATAAAACACATATGTAAAAAAAATAATTTGAAAAGAGACTAATTTTTCTGAGCAAAAAAGCTGGATTACCAAAAATAAACAGTTAAAAAAGCATAATTCCAATAAAAAAAAGCTAAGATAAAAATGAGAAAGCGGAAATGACATCACTGGACCCAGTGCTGTAAATGGTGTATTTCAAGAAAAGGGTGTATTTCTGCTTCCATTTCAGCTGGGCACACTAAAACAATCGAAACATAGTCCGGCAACGCTGGTGGCTCCAGAAAAGCTTTTATATTTCAGGCGGGAAATTTAAAAAAAATTAAAAAATATTTTATTAAATTATGTGATGAAAATATGATTTTTTTTTTAAATTTATAAATACAAAGTTTATTGCTGCCAATATAGATATTTTGGTCCGTCTCAAACATTACTTTTCGACAGTCGTCAAAAAGTATGGAATATATTTTTGAGAAGTTAAAGTAATCTTGATGAATGTTATTCCCCATATGAAAACCTTAAGTAAATCCCAAGTTTTAAAAAGTACTTAAACTTACCTTCATTTACAATAAACAAATCTCCCTTTACAAATCAACACATTTTCATAATTTATTTGCCGGGAAAACAATGAGAAAACCATGTAACACTACGCGTACAGATGGAAACTAAGAAATTTAATTTCCCAACTAATCTTAATGCTATCTCGCCTATGAGTAATCCTTCGGAGATCGTCCTCGGGTATCGTTAAGTACTATTCAATGCGTTATTGAAGGGGCTAGCGCCGTTGTGGCCGCCGCCGCGTGGTGCAAGTGATGGTGATGATGGTGGTGATATGTCAGCGTGGGCGGTGGCGGCGGCGGAGGCGGTGGGTGTCCCGGGGCCGGAATAACTGCCGGGACACTGGCTACTCCAACCGAAGATGAAGTAGCGAAGCTGCCGGCGACGGCCATCTGCTGCTCATAGCTGGAATAGTGATCGTAGTAGCTGCCATATCCGGTGTCCAGGCTGTTTCCGCTTCCGCTATTAACCACTGGTGCCGTGGTGGTCCCTGTGTCGAAGTAGCTAACGCCGTTGTAGCCACTGCCACTCTCGTAGTAATGGTGTCCCGCCGGGGGATTACCACCGAACTGCTGATGCTGCTGCTGATGCTGATGTGTATGTGGTTGGTGCTGCTGCATCTCGTACTCCGCCTTGGGACTGTAGTAGTATTCGTAATTATCCTCCACATACGGCTGTGTCTCCACGGTGGCATTGTACTTGATGGTGGGTGGTGGTTGTCCCGCTCCCGGCTCTCCCTTGCAACCGATCTCTTCCTGACCGCCACCCAAATGCTTGATCTGCGAGTAGTTGATGAACTCTGGCTCTGGAGTGGCCAGCTGTGGGATGGACTCGTAGGAGAGCGCCTGACACTGGGTGTGCCCATGCAGGGGAGTGCTCATAGCATAGCCGCTGCCGCCGGAGGAGGAGCTTTGCTGATAGGCGGCCAGCTCCGAAATGCTGCAGGTGTAGGGCAAGCTCGGAGACTTATTGGGAGCCGCCGTGGCCGCCGCCGGAGTGGCATGGTAGATGGGATAGTTGTAGGTTATATGCTGATGATTCACCGTAAACACATTGGCGGCGGTTTCGCAAGGCGCCGAGGAATCAGATCCACTTAGGGGCCAGGAATTGCCTGCGTAGCTAGAGGATTGGGCCAACTGGTGGCTTCTCGCCGAAGTGCCGTCCTCCAGGTAGCTGCAGGTGCAGTGGCTGTAGCTGGTGCACTTACCACAGGCTGGGAAAATTATACATTTTATTAAATATTCTTGCCATCTTCAAGAGGAACTTAATCCTTAATTAATCAGTGCATTGACTCACCATTATACTGATATAAATCCAAGCCAGAGTGGCTCAAAGGATTGTTGGCCACAGGACGCTTAAGGACCTTGCCCATCAGGCTCTGTTGCTGCTGATGAAAAATACAAGATATTAAGATACTTTATCCACAGAATCTCCTCTTAAAAACTTACCTTCACCTGCTTGACCAGACCCGCAATCACCGACTTCTTGCCCAAACCTCCACTGCCCGATTTCCCAGCCAGAGGCGCTCGGCCAAAGGCTCTCTTGGACACCGTGGAATTCTTGGGATCCGGACGCAGATGATCGTGTGCTCCCTTGGCCTGAAAGAAAATGGCATTGCCGGAGTGCCGCCAGAAGTGGGTCACTGGATAACCACAATGTCCGCGACAGGGCTTGATTTCCAGCCGGCCGCCGCGGCAACTCTTGTTGGGACAGGCCTTGCCCTCCTGTTTCCTTCGCGCCTTATCGCAGATCGCCGGTCGCAGGTTGATCTTGGACCCATTGGGCAGTGTGCAGTGCTGGGAGCAAACCAGGACGCCCAGGCAGCTCTTCTTCAGGATGTTCACGTTATGGTTGTTCGTGTTGCGCATCGCCCAGCCGGAGATGTGCTTCTTGGCCTCCTCGTTGTGTAGCGAGTAGATGTGCCGGACATGGCCGTCGCTCCACTCGTTGAACTCGTCAAACTCCTGATCCGGGACATGCGGCACAATGGCATCGTTTATGTCCCACTCCCGCTTGCCCTTGCCGCCGGACGACGACGATGACGACGCTGGCATGGTCATGGAGCCGCCGCAAGCCACTGGCTGGCCAGGATTGGGATTGTGGGCAGGACTTGAGGCCAGGCTCTGGAGCTGGGCGTACTGGTGATCGGGCTGCTGTGTGAGGAGTTGCTGTGACTTGAAGGTGTAGCCATTTCTATAAGAGAATTTATTTATTTGTTTAGTTTGATGATTTCATTTGGATTATAAATGAATTTGGGTTATAAAAAAATCGGTAATTTAATTATAATTTATGAGAGTAACAGAATACCTAATTTTAAATTTTAAGAAATCCAAATTTTTTTCAAATTTTTTGGACTTTTAACGATGTAACCCCTTATAAAATTTTGATAAAATTAAAAAAAAAAGTTTCTTCCGGACATGGCTAGAAAGTTTTGTCTGTTTATGCCGATCAAGAATATATATACTGTATAGGGTCGGAAATGACTCCTTCACTTCGTTTTCAACTTCTGACTAAAAGTATAATATCCTGCAAGGGTATACAAATGCGCATTCTTAAACCGATATTTACGACTATAATTTGTGGGAAAAACAAAAACTTCAAAGCAAAAATTTTAGTCAAAAAACCATTCAATTTAAATAAAATGACAGTTCTGTGTTTGTTTTTATTCGATTAATAAAAATCTGCATAACAATCTTTTACCCTCCTGTTTTCTAAGTACTAAGTGTTTAAATTAAGTTCAACCTACGCATTTCCTTCAAATGACTCTCTGCTGAGTCACAATACAATCCTCAATTGAAAAACCTTCCATTACCTCTTTAAAAGTAAAGTAAAACACACTTTAAGTGCCCCATTTAAGTGCGAGCTAATCGCTAAAGCCTAAGCATCGTTTAAGGAAACTGTAAACCTATCTTAATTGCGCCCTAAACGGCATGTCCCTTGGTGATCCGCCAATCAAATGTATCGTTTGGTTTTGGTTTTATGGGCGCCATGTGAAGCACATAACTCTCTGGGCCCAGTTTAGAGGGCCGGTACCGTTAGCCCCCGGTAATCCAAGCCAGAATCGTAATTCGAGCGCCAGTTGGGCGCAAATTATGTCGCATGACTCAGCACGGAACTGCTAGACTCGCTGGAGGAACCAAGTCTCAGGTGAGAGACCCAGAGGTGTGTGTGTGCGTGTGGGAGTTATTAGAGAGTCTCGCTCTGCAATTAGCCATAAATTTGTTCGAATCGATCTGAGCCGCAGCGTTTTTATGTGTACTTGGAAGTCAGCAGGTTGCACGCTCTCCCATACCTGGCAGATCGCTTGGTGGTCCCCGAGAGTGAACCTGTTCGTGGTCAGGGGATCGCCTTTGTTTTGGGTCCGTAAATTGACTGCTCGACACTTCGGGGCGCTCGTTAGTCGCGCTTATCTGATGCTGATAGCGTCTCACTTCGTTCCCGATCTGTAGGTTTCTGTGTGTTCGCTTGGGGTCTCATAATAAGTTTGTCACCTAGAAAATATGTCTCTATAGATAGGTGGCTTTTTGGATCGCCTCTTTGACCCTTTCATTCGAGCGCCGCTTTGCCTCAGTCCCTTCCCACCATCTATGAATCTCAGAATATCTGAATTTTTTTGTGGATCGCCTACGCCTGCGTGTGGTCCGTCGGGTTCACGATCCGCGGCACACCCCGCGGCTCTTTGGAGCGGACTGGGGTCGGAGTTGGAGTGCCATTAACTAAGCTGTGGCCCATGCCCAGCGTGATAATAAAGCGTTTGAATCATTTACATGTTTTTCTTCCCCTGGCCTCCCCCGTTAGCGTTTGCTTTGTGGTCCATTCCTCATCGAAGATCGGATCTATCTGAGGTGTCTTGAGGCTCAACACTTACGCGTTTGCTCGAGATGAACGCGTGTCAACGGAGACTCAATGAGAGCTGATTAGGAGTAATTGGAAGACCACCTTTAGGGGGAAGTTTTGATTTATTTTGGATATAATTAGGGGACTATACAACGGGGGGATAGGTGTGGTGTGTTTTTTGTTCTTTAATATTTTAAAAAGGTTTGGAATTTAATATATGATTATACCAGAATAAGTTTACTGATGTTAATGGTTCTACATTGAAATAGCTTTTTCGGTTTGTCTTTTGTCATTATTAAATAAAATGCTGTATACAAATCATAATGATTCTATACTCATCTTAACTATAGTCCTGGTTTAATTATAAACGTCCTTAAAGCCAAAAATTAGTGCATTTTTAATTAAATGAATAAAGTAGGTGTTTGCTTTATTAATTTCATTAAAAGACTTGCAAGTTGTTAAATTTCTTCATATTTTAAATAAATAAATGGGGATTATTCTGAACCTTATTTCATTCTACAAACTCTTAAAATGCAAACTGATGAAGAAACATAAAATTTATCTCAAATATTTATATAAATCTTGAAACTATTTCCTCAAACTGAAGCTAAGAAAATAAAGAATTCATAGAATTATATACATTTTACATGGCCCAAAATAGGTATATATTGTTTTTCGTTGCTTATAATTTTTAAATTTCCTCTTATTGGTATTTATCTTCCGTTAATCAATCATAATTTCTCTAATTTTTGGCATTACTTATTTCTGAAAGCCTATACATTCCCTTAAATACTTGTAAAAGCAAATTCCTGACAACAGAAACTCCGAATACATCATTTTCTAAGAAAATTCCCATTTTTTCCTCCTCTTCTTTCCAACTTACATAACAACCATATTCCAATTGAAACAGCTTCTTTAATCCAGGAAAGCTACTTTGCAGACTTGACAATGTGTCCAAAGGACAACTAAACGCTCACTTAATTGAGTTTTCTCTGACTCGAGAGCACACTTCACACTGCCATCACTCGACAGGCATTGTAAGCCAATTAGGTGACACTTGTATCTCGCGGATAGCCGTCGGCTAGCTTTAGTTTTCGCGGATGGCGGATGAATTTCACGAATTGCGCGCACGCGACACCAATCGCGAGGAGACAGCCGTGAGAATGACGACCTTAGCTACCGCTGGGGCAACCTGTGAGCGAGCGTTGTGAGCGGTGCGATGCAGCAGTGCGGGATGTGCGCGCGTATCTGCCAGATACTTACGAGAAACAAAAGAGCAGCAGACAAAAATATAAAAAAAAAAATTAAAAAAAAAAAACAAACTTCAAGCGATGCCAAGTTTTGTCAACAAAGGAACGATGGATATTATGGCTCCACCTACAAAACCCCGGGGAGCGGGGGCAGAGCCACCCGCATAATTTGGCGAAAAACTCCACGCAGGCGACGACGTCGGCGCATAATCAGCGGCGTCGACGGCGGCCAACAGCTGCCGCCGTGGTAAGACGTATCCATCAGATACTCTCCGCTTCCAGGCGGCAGCCACTTCCAGTTCGCTGCTCACTTGCTATTGGTCGGATAATCCCATCCATCGGGTGTTTCTCGCTCTCTCTCTCTCTCTCTTTGTGTCTATCTATCTCTCTGGGAGTTTTTGAAGTTCTGGATGCAAGAAGGGGCCACAAATGGTTGATGTGGATGTGGATGTATCTTCATGTACATGAGTGTATGTATGTTCGATAAGCATCACAGAAATTTAATTACTTATTATGCCGCTTATCAGGACCCATTGTTCTGCCTAAGGATATGCCAACAGGGAGCAGCAATGGAAATTTCAGTGGAGAGAGCATAGAAATTCAAGGGTTTATCGCTGGGAATGTTTGGCAGTTTGGCGATGGATGATTAATGGTCGGGGAAGGCGAAAAATGCCTAAACATTCAATTTAAGAAACTCTTCACGAAACTGGAATATATGTAGTTTTCGGATTGTTGTTTTATCTAAAATTTTAAGGATCTAAAAACGGTTTGGAAGTAAGGAATATGAAGAGATTTTAAGATTTTAAAATTCTTTGAATATATGTTTTGTCTTTAATAATATTACTTTTTATTATATGCTTTAAGGGTCTAAAATTATTTAGGAAACTAAGAAAACATTAGAAGAGCTCCAAAAAAACTATGAAAACAAATTATATAAATGTTTATTTAATATTATAGAAAATAATTATGTATACCAGTAAAATTCCATTTCTTTATTCTGCAGTAGAGCGTGTAGGTATTTCCTCCCACCTCCAACTCCTTCATCACCATCTTGGTCGTTGACTTGTCGGTAAGTTGAACCTACTAAGAGCTACACAAGTGGCAACAATATCAGGGTCTGATCAGCCAGAGGGGCCCAGCCAGGAGTGAGGGGGCACTTCTGGGCCTAATGCTCGCTTCGTCTTGTGTTTTCACCTGATCAGCCCGCATCGCCATTTGGGCCAAAGTTACAGGCCAACAAAGAAGTGAAATAAAATAAAATACAATTTATGCGTCCACTTGGTAGCACACACAATTAACCCGAGAAGAGGAGCAATTTAACTGGCGAACAAATAGAAATGGAGTGTTGGGCGTTAAGGTGAAAATTGAAAATGCCGTTGACAGGAAATGTAAATGGTCGCAGCAGCGCCCAGTGGCAACAACTGTTGCTCACCGACTGTGACAGGAGGGGCAGGAGGAGATCGGCATATATACTACTTATATTTAGATATAGGGGATAGGGCCTGGAGACGCGTAACTACGCGGTACTGGGAGTATCTGGCCATGGCTGCTGGCCATGTTGTCGCTTTAACGCTCCACAACGCAAATGATACGGGTGACAAATGCAGCGACGAAATACCAGAAAATGGAAGATATGCTCACAGTTTTACAACCAACTAACAGTTTCTCCCCCGATCGGAGTTATCGCCCTGCTCGGGTCTAGGTTCAGGCAGCTGCCGCTCTCGGGGGTTTTTGCAATTAATTGCCCAACATTATTTTATAAGCATGCGCAGTTTAATGTAGGTACAACATACACACTATACACCCGGTGTGGTCCCACCTTCGATCTCCAAATCCAATCCCGATCTGAGCCAGTGTCACGCTGGGCTCGGGCCACTCTCTAATGAGCGCGTGCTCCGAGAGCGCCAAGCTCCAGCTGTTCCAAGAAGGGCCTGTCATTGGGGTCTCCCCACAGATACTTTTGTTTGGGGGTTCATTGTGTTTGAAAAATATTCCATAATTTTGTTTTTTTGTTTTTTTGGCGCATCAAATTAATCATCGATCTGTTAAAATAAATAAAAACTGGTGTACATTGTAATGGTTTTTCGAGTAAGCTTTCGACCTCAAAAATATTGATAATTAATTTGGCCAAAGGCACTGAGGAAAAATTAATATTAAAACTATTACTAAAATAAGGTTATTAACAACTAATCTTTTTTTTAAGGAAAAAGCTAAAGTATTCAATATATTGTTACAGAATTTGATCTTAGATATTAAAGAAAGAAAGCTTAATTTTGAAAGTAAAAATTATTTATAAAGCTCTTATAAAAATACTCAAAATTCCTTGAAATTACAAAAAATAAAAACCCTTTAAAAAATGTCTCCGCCAGAAAAGCTCGCCCAAATTAAGAAGTAATCCCTCGCAGACAGACTTAAATATTGATGACCCCTATATATGTCGAGTGTTTTGTTGACACATTGCCGACACGTCTTTCTCCGACTGTAGGGATCCCAATCTCGGACCACAGCCAAGTGTGACTTTTGTGGCACCCAGCAAAGACAAAGACCGAGGGCAATTTTTCCATTTACGCAATTAATTGGTCGTCGCGCTGGGAGGTCCACTAATAGACCGAAGTCTCAGTCGTAAAGCTCATCGGCGGATTAACGTTTCGCCTATTGACTGATTGCTAGTCGAGCTCACATCACCCACAAAAATAACACCAGAAATATGTGTACATTTTTGGATTTCTGTGATTTTGATTTTGACAAATGTGCGTGTGGAGCCCTCGAGGTGTTAGGCCCTCCATGCTAATGGCCCTCTTGGAGTTCCAGTCTTATAAATGGTCTCGATTAGAACCCAATTACAAGGGTGGTACGCTCCGATAGCCCCCAGGACAGGCGACTTACTTTTGATCGTTGAAATTATGACTCATAAATTTAATTTTATGACTTCGTTCGCCTAACAGAATAATCAAAAAAGGCCCAGGAAGAAGATATCAAAAGTAGCGAGGCCCCAAGGAAATGTGTAGCAATGTATGGCCCGGGCAAGGTGCCAAAATTATGCGGACCGTGGACTGTAATTTTCGAACCGAAGGTGCTTAAACACCCTGCCATTTGCTCATTACCGAAAATTACACGAAATCGCATCTGAGATGGAGCCATGTCGGAGTCCTCGCTGTTCCTACACTTTAATCAGCTAAATGGACTGTTGAAAATTCGACGCATTCGGCATCATCAGGCTTCCGAGCAATGTTTGCATAATGAGCTTGGGGCGGGATCCAATTCCGGGCCTAATGTGCTCTGCTCCTGATCAGCTTGATTGGGGGCCCCGGTCAGGATGTGTCAAGGAACCCGAACCCTCATAATTGAAGATGGAAGGAACTGGGAAGAATGATACCTGGTGGAGAGGAGTGGGTCTGACCCTTTGCAGTTAGATGCCTCTGGCTATCAGCGGTTTATTCTACGAGTAAAAACATTTTTAATCACTGGGGGAAGTCCGCTTAAATTAGGTATAAATTAGTGAAACATAAAGTTTAATGAGAAAGGAAGTTTAGCCCGAAGGTTTTGGTCTTAAAAAACCCCTAAAGATAATTATCACTGAGACTACATAGCAATTATATTTGTAATTTCTTTATTTCATAGAAGTTTAAAAGAATATGTAACTTGAAAATAGTTATACAATTTAAAGAATTTAAGTATAAATATTAAATATTTAAGTTAGCTTTCTTTTTTGACTGTAGCTTTATTTAAAGACCCCTATACCTAAAGTGTAAAATAATATCTTTATCTAGAATATATTATAGAACTTACAATTTGCTTCTGAGTGGCCTTTCCTTTTTGTCCTTGCTTAACTTGTTATCTAAAGCCCATTTATTAAAAGCCAGTGCTTCTCTCTTTCAGATACTGCGATAAGATAAACCCTTCTTACAGGGAGGTGATGAGAGCACGCGAGCCAGCCTAACTGGATTTTCGATCAACAGATTCTTTCGCAGAACCAGAATCAAAACCTTCGTCCCAGCAGATGGCCTACAAAGAGCCCGAGAAATCTGTGACCAACATCCCGCATAAGGCAGTAATCAAGTCATTCCATTTCATACCCATTCCCACTTCATCTCAGGGCAGACCAGATCCCAAAAGCAAGACCAGACGACAGCGGCACGCACGACTTGACCTGCCTCAAAAAGCCAGCTGGACAAGACCACGGGCGGGGGAAGACGCCGTTTAAGTTAATTACGATTATGATTATGATTACGATTACGATTATGATTGCGATTACGTTTATGATTATGGCATGAGCCTGAGCTTGAGCCCTACTTATCGGTACATCAATGAGAGGGGATTATAGAAATGAAAAGTGCTGCGTGCAGTCGGCTGAATCAGAATATTGATATTCGATTAGTGTATCGGGGCCAAAAACAGGTGCTACAGGTAACTGGAGAACGCAGAACCAATGTAAATAATAAGCAGCAATTAATTTACTCTCCTGAGAATTATGGGCGTGTGGATGCAGGGCACGTATGCAGAGGCAGTGGCGGTGGCAGTGGCACGGGTTAACTGGAGTCGGCGGAGTGTCCCCACTCCAAAAGGAGCATGTAGCCTCCACACACATCTCAAGCAGACCACGAAGAGGAAGTGGCTAAGACTGCGGCAAGCCGCCAGTCCTACAGCTGCACTTCTTCGCCGAGTTATGCTGGCTGACCTCCTTTGTGCCCCTCTGCTGGAGGAGATTTCCCTCTGTGTCTGCCTTCGGGGTTGGTTGCTTGGTGGCTGGGGCTCCAGCACGTGCTCGTCGTGGCTCATCGAAAGGTGCAAACTGGGAGATACAAATATGTGAATAGTGAAAACTCCCACGATCATTTGGGCCTCAGCCCACTCGAGATGATGTATTGATCTCTAGCCCTCCTCCTCCTCACACTCCCCTCCATGATCAATCACTCTCGTGGCCCTGGTTTTACCAGCCGAAAGTCCAAACAAAACCTCTGACAATTGCCTTTGACAGTTTTTACCGTTCTCTCCCCCGATGGTTGTTTATGTCTCGCCGATTATTATTTCTGCAGCGCCTCTTTTTGCATATGCTGATTTGGGATAGCGATTTGGATTCCGGAAAGGGAAAGGGAGTGATTGATAATGGACAGTCGTCAGTCAGGCACTCAGTTCGTCAGCTCTTCAGTCTGAGAGCAGCTGTTTTGTCAGGCAGCATTGGTTGTTAA